ACTTCTCGTGTCTTGCTCACAACACACCTGTTAAAGCAGCCCAGAATGTCAATTTTCTGGGGACACCCTCACAGCAGGTCGAAGGAAGAAACTTTCCCATTAACTTCCCTTACTCCTTGCAATAGCAAGGAGTCCTGTGGTTGACTGGGCACCCTCAGCATTCAGTTTAGTGGGTAAGTACAGATGAGCCCTTAATTTCATACAGCCAAGTAAAATGTGTTTCATAGATGTGTTAGGTGTGCCCTGGACTTTAGTAAGAACAACAAGGAATCCTGTGCCACTTTATCAACTAAGCTTTATTTGGACATCCATGCATCTGCAGAGTGGGCCCACCCATTTATTACCCCTGAGTTACCAAAGTGTTAATTCACCACAAGTAGAAAGTCCTCTTGCCTCTGTAATAGCCAGGCCTGTCTTTGAAATACACTGTTGACACATGGTGCCAGCACTGGTCAGTAAAGGTACAATTTTTTAATAATTGTAACTTCATAAAATTGCAAGGTTTCATCTATGAAATGCAAATGACTTTGCAGCTGAGTCTAAACTGGGACAACTATTCACTGGAATCTTAACCAGTTAGCTCACAGTAGCCTTTACGGACATGTTAGAATACTTATCACAGCTTTCTTATTGTACAGTCACTTCAAAGTATTTAAAAATGTTGACCCTATTAATTATTAGCTTTAGATAAATAAAGATTCAAAAGTATTAGTTTTTGATAATTTTCCTTGAAACTCTATTCTCCATGCTACATGTTATAAAAGTAGTAGTGTGGTGATTATTGCCCATTTGTATTCCAGCGGAGCTGTATGTCCCCATATCAGGATCAGATTCCCCACTGCACCACACTCAAGACATTGATTCCCTTAAGAGTTTATAATCTAAAGCTATTTTTAATCTATCATCTAATGTATTGTTTGCTTTGTGAAAATTGCTGGTGACATTACTAAGCCATGGGGTACATATTCTGTAGTGTAAATAGCAAAGAAAGCAATGAGTATAAATTTCAGTACCTTTACTGTTGTGATTCCTAACACATACCTCCCTCCACATCTTACCAACTATCCTTGTTATAGTCTTTGAAAACAAATGATCATTAAAATTCTTGCACTGTAAGATTTGGACTTTCTGATGAAGTACACAACTTTAATTTGCAAAGCTCACTGATCCCAAGCAAGTGTGCTTTCCATCAAGATGACAGCATACAATAGATTGCTCTGTGCCCTTCTGTCAGATGGATAAAGCAGTAAAACAAGGGCTCAGTTATTTGTGTGCTGGAGGGGCAGTGGTTATCTGGCAATATGACAGGTTTGCTAATGGTACCTGACAGGAGTGTCACAAAGGAATAATTGTAAAGAGCCTTCCTGTAACACAATACTTCAAAAAAAAATCTTTTCTTGAAACAGCACGAATGCAGAATCCCAGCTGACAACTAGAGTAGATGAGATGCATAACCTATTTACTTGCTTCCAGTAGGAAGCATTGTCATTGCCTGATTTACTGGGGTTTGGGGCATTATGTCAACAGATACTGATTTTATTGTAATGTGATACTTCACACTTTCTTATCCTGTCTACAGATTTCAAAGCACTTTTCAGGGATATTATTGCCTTTTTATCAGTGATGTAACACAGGCATAGTGGTTGTGGCTTAAGGTGACTTCAGTGGCTCTCAGCCTTTCCAGACTACTATAGTCCCTACAGGAGTCTGATTTGTCTTGCATATCCCTGAGTTACCCCTCATTTAAAAACTACTTGCTTACACAAATAGCCATAAAAATACAAAAATGTCACAGCATACTACAATTGTAATATTGCGTACTTTCTCACTTTTACCATATAATTATAAAATCAGTTGGAATATAAATACTGTATTTACATTTCAGTGTAATATATAGAGCGATATAAACTAATCATTGTATGAAACTATAGTTTGTACTGACTTCATTAGCTCGTTGTAAAACTAGGCACATACCTAGATGAGTTGATGTGTACCTTTCAGAAGACTTCTGCAAACCCCATAGGTCTCTACATGTTTGAGAATCACTGATGTAATAAGTGATTGTCAGAATTAGGGATGGGAATTGGATCTGTATCAGAGGCAGCAGGGGGAGGGAGGGAGCAGGAGCTGGTGCCTGTGGGGAGCCGGCTTTTAAGATGGCTCCCCCATGAGCGCTGGATCCCACAAAGCCACCTTCTCGGTCTGATAGACAGCAGCACTGCAGGGGGAGGCGGGAGCTGGTACACACAGGAAGCTGGCTTTCAAGCCAGCTCCCTGCACATATTGGCTTCTAAGGAGCCATCCTATATTGGCTTCTAAGGAGCCACCTCCATTGCCCCATCTAACAGAGAGGCAGCAGCATGGGGGGACAGATAGGATGGCGGAGCAGCCTCTGTCCGTGGTGGGCCTGACTTGCTGCAGACCGAGGCTGCTCTGTGGAGCTTGAGTCCCCCCCTCTGTATCATAGGCAGCAGTGAGGGGCAGTGCATGGGAGCTGGTCTGCGTAGGGAGCCACTTTTTAAACCAGCTTCCCTCACAGACTGGCTCCCGTTTGCCACCCAATGCTGCTGCCTCTGTGGGGTGACAAGAGGCTCGCTCCCCGGGAGTGGGGCCAGGAGAATACTGGTTGCTGCCCCCATGGACTATTGAATAATTGTGTAACCACTAAGATTTGGTGCCATTACACAATTATTAAATTAAACTATACCTAACATCCCTAATATTTGACTACTCTGGTTATTAAAATCTGATATTTTTGATTGCTGCAGCCAAATACTGCAGGAGTACTATATGAAGAGAGCTTTGTAGAATGGGTGTTAATTAATTAAATGATTTCTAAACACCGTTTTATTATCCTAACCATTTTTGTTACAGAAGTCTGTAAACATGGATAAATCAGTAAAAGGTGCTCCAGAAAAATCATTTGCACAGTAGAAAACTAATGATCTTTTAAATAGGGGAGGAAATGGGTTTTATTGTACCACAGTGGTGTTTTTTTTAATGTGTGCCATTTGTTGTAATCTTCCAGAAGCATAAAGGCCAAAAATGTGCTAGTTATCCCATTAGTTACAGAAAACAGCTATGCAAAGCACATAGCTCAGTCTCTCATTTCGTATGATTTGATATTAAACTTCAGGTGATCGCTGACTCTGTATTCAGTTTTTTTCACACGTCCTTTTGTCATGATTGGGGCGCAAATGTTCTTCAAGGTATTTTGAAATGGGATCTCTATGGTGACAGTTCACATTCTTGTGAACAGACCAACACTTTAGTTAATCTGTAAGGTGCCACAGGACTCGTCGCCGCTTTTGCAGATTCAGACTAACACGGCTACCTCTCTGATATTCGACACATTCTTGTTGTGCTTCCAACTTTGGTGGAGCTGTTCTGTTTTTAGCAGTTTGAGCTGGCCTCTGTATTGTAATAATGGGTAGGCTTCAAGAGTCACTGGATGCGCATGGCACATCCCAGTACAAAATACGAAACTACTATTGGAGCACATACGCAATTTTTGATGGTAGGGACTTGGTTCAAATGTTAGGGTTTTTTTAAACCTGATAAATCAGGCTTGACAGTACGGTCATTAGAATCCAGTGAGAATTTAGAAATCAAAAATTTATATTTTGGATTTCTTTACTTTTAATTTGCCAGTCTGTAATGGGAATTACAGATCCAAAGGGGGATTTGTAAACTTTCATCAGGGTTTGTAAATCGATAAATCAAATATTTTAGAAACCAAGAAAATAATCTAAGGGTGCAAGATAAAAGCTTGCAAATCAAAACAACAATATGATACGATTTTTTGATTGGTGATGAACATATTGGTGACCCAGGCAATATTTAATCTCCAGCTGTGTTGTGATTGTGTACCTGGGTTGTATAATTTCTTTTCACTACTTGTATGTTAAGCAGTTGCAAGTACTGTAAGGGTACGTCTAGACTACAGGCTTTTGTCAACAGAGGCTTTGTCGACAAATACTGTCGACAAAGTTTCTGTCAACAACGAGCGTCTAGACTACATCCAGTTCTGTCAATACAGAATGCCGCTTTGTCGACATGAGAATGTAGACACAGAGGACAGTGTAGATGCAATAACACCTTCTGTCAACAGAACTCTGTCAACAAAAGGTGTTATTCCTCGTAGAATGAGGTTTACCGCTGTCAACAGAACTGCCAAGTTCTGTCAACATTAGGTCAACAGAACTCGGCGGTAGTGTAGATGCATGTATAGTTTTGTCGACAAAAGTCCACTTTTGTTGACAAAACCCTGTAGTCTAGACACACCCTAAGATATGTCTTTGGGGGTTTTCAAGCCTAGTTTAGCAGTACTTTTTGCTGCAGTAGTCTCTCATTAAACTACAGTCTGTATGCCATTATTCAGTTACTCAGCATTTCTTCTCATTCTGTCCTCTTCTATCCATTTCCATTAAATGAGTTTGGAAATACAGTGGTCTTCAGCCAGCACCACATCAGTTGTGGCTGCTACTCCTTAGTACTTCACCTATATTTTTCTTACCACCAGCAGCAAACAACACTGAAATTGATGTTGCATGTATGTTTCTTCCTGGGCTTGTATGTTCTTGACCCATCAATATGGTTTGGCTAAATGTATTCTGCTCTGAACTTTTAGTGAACTTATGAGTCTTTACACTCCATCTGTCCTGCATAAGAGGGACGAGTCTTGTCATAGGTACGTGTGTTCAGTGTCAACAGGGCAGGTAGAAATCCAAGAACCAGATTATCAGTGTAGCTCTACTGACTTGAGTTTAGTTTATCTCCATGGAGATGAACTAATTTACACTTCTGAGGATCTGACCATGGGCGCATGCAGCGTTTCGATCTACTCCAGTGTTACTAAATGAACCAATTGGTAGTTTGTTCTCTTTTGGATTTTGTAGAGATGCTTACTGCAGTGAAATGCAGTTTAATTGGAATGAGCATCTTAAGTATTTCTGGTAGGTTTTTCATTATATTTTTCTTATTTTAAAGGAAAAGTGATAAACAAAGACTTACGTCACTACCTGAGTCTGCAGTTCCAGAAAGGCTCAATAGACCATAAACTCCAACAAGTGATCAGAGACAATCTTTACCTGAGAACCATCCCATGTAAGTATGTAGAGTGCTAGCATAAATTAATCTGTTTCAGTTAAACGCATGTCACTTAAGAATTTGTAAGCTTTTTTCCTTTTATCCTGTGTGTGTTCACACTTCCACCCTTTCTGTGAGAATTCTTTTGCATGAGGCTATTTTTATGTAGGTGCTTGGTTAGAATCCACATTAAGAAATGTTGCGAGTTAACTTGGGATTCAATGGAAAATTAGTTTATATAAAGATGGTTATCAGTATATTCAGGAATTGACAAACCAGCTGCTGGGCACGGTGGGGTGAGCAGGTTCCATGCTCCTGGAGCAGGTGGGGCCCTGGGCAGAAGGGGTGAGGCTGCAGCTAGTCTCCCCCTGCCAGCCCTTCAGCACCACCTGGACTGTGCATCCAGGAGTCCTGGGCCTTTTTAAATCACTGGGCCCTGAGGCAGTTGTCCCCTTTACTGCTCTGCCATGCTGCCGCAGTGGGCCTGAAATCAGCCACAGACATCAAAGTCCAAGTTCAGAGGACTTCAAGAGTATCTACGTTATTTTAGACTCATTGGTACTGCCTCTGAAAACCATTACAGAGTGCAACGGGGAAAAATGTAATGTCAGTATAAGAATAAGCAAGTGGGGGGGAGTGAGCCATCATTTTAACTAGCATAATATAACTCTCACCACAGATTTTATGCTAATGTCTCACACATGTGCATGCACACCTGCCTAGGCAGCTCTGTAGCTTTGCTCCAAGGGGAAATGATGACCTCAGGAATCCACCTGTAGTTAGGCTGGGTGTTAGAGAAAACAGGAAGGAGGGTAGAGGGTATAACAGTAGAAGAGCTGCTTGTGAGGAAGGAGACCCTGCTGGAAAATAACTAGGTGGAGTGCACAGGGGATGTTGTTGGTGCACTTGTCACAGTCTGAGCCTGAAATTAGTGGGCTGGAGGAGAGAATTGTAGCATGGTACATGGTTGGGAAAAGGAGGTGCAGCCTTCCTAACATAGAATTAAGTAAAGTAGAGTGGCACCACATTAATGAGAAGGCACCAGAGGATGAGCCTCACGTCTTAATCCACTGCAGGCTGGAATGGCTGGCATCTCCTAGCATTTTCCCATCCATACACCCCACCTGTTAGCATGCTTACAGCCAGGTATCATTAAAAAGTTGCTGTTCCTGCAGCCTGAATGAAAAGATGGGATCCTGGGATGCACGAACAGGGGAAAAGAGAAGTTGGCTTACCACCATATTTGGCACTGGTGTGATGGCTGCTGGAATACTGCGACCAGTTCTGGTGCCCATAATTCAAGAAAGATTTGGTAAATTGAATAAGGGTTCAGAGAAGAGCCATGAGAGTGGTTCAAGTATTAGAATGTATGCCTCACAGGGATAGAGCTCTGAGAATCTTAATTCTGACCAAAACAAAGGTTAAGGGGTGATTACCTTGATTACCGTTTGTCAGTATCTACAAGGAGAGAGAAAAAAATGTAATAGGTTCTTTGTCTGAGAAAAGGGTATAAGCTGATTTGATACCAGGAAATTGAGGCTAACACATCTTGAAGAACCCTCATTACTGTAAGGTGAATAATTTATTCTCCATCACTGACCATTTTTAAATCAAGATCAGATGCTTTTCTAAACGGATGTTTTTCTAGGAAATATTTTGGTAGTTCTATGACCTATATTCTAGAGGAGACCAGACTAGTGGCCCTTTCTTGCCTTAGAATCTATTCATTGCATGTTAAAGTATTTTTTTTTGTCATTTGTAGCTTTGCATGTTGTTTTTAACACATTTCTATTTATCCATTTTGTGACCAGTTTAATGGGTTGTGTAACTTTCAGCATGTCCAGGATTACACCAGGCAAAGTGAACTATCCACTTAATCTTATGAATAAGAGAATGAGGAGTTGGAAAAAATAATCAGTGTAATGGAAATGAGGTTGACAGTGCTGTTCATTGTGATAAAATAGACAAGTTTGGAAAAGATTGAGGTTTAACAAGATGCAATAATGAATCACTAATCTGTGCTTCAGGAGAGCGTTAATCTTTCTTATGTTAACTAGAGCTTCCTTGTTTGCTAGACTTTTTTACATTTTGAACATTCTTCTTCAAGTGATGGCTCTTGGGCATTCCAGCAAGCCTGTGCAAACCATCTGCATGATCATGGGAAAGTTTTTCCCCAGAAGTACCCATCAGGCTGACTGAGGAGCCCCCTAGAGTGGTACCTACATGGCACAGTGTGTAGGGCTCAGCCAGCCCTCCTCCCCCTCAGTTCCTTTTTACTGCCAGTGACGGTTGTTGCAGCTTCTTTTCTCTTGCTCTAGCTGTGTTTCTTACACCTTTCTTGTTTATAGGCAGTCTGGTCACCCTGCCTGTGACTCAGTTCTCTGTTCTCTGAATTGCTGGCTGCAGCCCAAAGAAGTGTGCACTCAAGTCCCCAACTTTCTCTCTCCTGTTTCTGGTCAGGGATGCATCGGAAGCAGGGTGGGAAGCGTACCTAGGCGAACTCAGTACTCAGAGGCTGTGGTCTCAAGCAGAACTCTCCATGCACATCAGCGTCAGGGAACTCCGTATGAATTCACCTCACCTGCCATGCCTTCTAGCACCATCTTACAGGGCCGCTGTGTCGCCATGCTGATGGACAACATGGCTGCAATGTAATCTGTAAACTAACGGGGTGATGCTCACTCTTCTCCCCTCTGCTGCAAAGCCCTTGATTGGTGGGACTTATACAGCAAGCAGCATATCCACCTGCAAGCCTCCCACCCCCCAGGGGCTCAGAACACCTTGCCAACCACCTCAGCTGCTCTTTCAAGACCTACAAGTGGTCCCTCAGGATGGATGTCAGCCTTCTCCAGAGGGCGGGTAAACCCTGCATGGGCCTGTTTGCCACAAGGACCAACAGGAAGTGCCACAGGTTCTCCTCCTTTCAGAACCATAACCACGATTCCAGTGCGGATGCATTTCACGTTTCCGTGGTAGGACCTCCTGCTGGACACATTCCCTCCCTTCCCATCAGTGCCCAAAGTTATTCTCAGTATTCGGCAGCACAGAGCAGATGTGATTCTCACGGTTCTGGCATGGCTCTGGCAACATTGGTTCATGATGCTGCTTCGCCTCTCAGTGGATACACCCATAGCTCTGCCATTCTACCCCAACCTTCTCACCCAGAACCACTGTGGGCAACAGCACCTTAACCTTCAGTCTCTCCACCTCATGGCGTGGAGACTTCTGGGATAAATCCTTGGGAGCTTCAGTGCTTGGACTCAGGGAAGGCTTCCTGTCCACTAGGGCCACATATGTAGCGAAGTGGAAGTGCTTCTCACTCTGGTCTCTCCAGAAGAGTGCTTGGCCTCAGGAGGCCACTGTGCCCTTGGTCCTTGATTACTTTTTATACCTGACTCACCAAGATCTGGTCCTGTCATTCCTCAAAGTTCATGTGGCTGCCATTTCAGCCTTCCACCCAGGCTTAGGCATAGGTCCCTTTTTGCTAACCCCACTGTGGAGCACTTTCTCAAGGTCATAGAAAGGTTGTGCCCTCTGGTTAAAAATCCTTTACCTCAGTGGGACCTCAATCTAGTCCTCTCCTGGCTCTGGGGGCCTCCCTTTGACTCCTTATTCCCTGTCCATCTCTCTTGGAAGATCACCTTCCTAGCGGCCATAACTTCGACCAGGAGGATTTCAGAGCTCCAAGCCTTAACCTCTAATTCCTCCCGCGCTTCCCCCCCCCTTTTTTAACAAGGACAAGTTGCAGCTCTTTCCCCACCCATCCTTCCTGCCTAAAGTGGTCCAGGAAATGTTTCAGCCTGTGTTCTTCCCTAAACCACAGGCCACTTCTAGGGAACATGCTTTATACTCATTAGCCATCAGGAGATTCCTACACTGGATGCACCAAGTGGCTGAGTAAATCACACAATTCTTTATTGCAATTGCAGAAGGGATCTTTCTTCCTGGATCACATGCTGCATCAGGACATGCTATGATCTGGCTAACGTTCCAGCTCGAGTCCTGACAGCTCATTACATGAGGGCTCAGGTTTCCTCCGTGGCATTCCTCGCCTAGGTCCATATTCAGGACATCTGCAGGGTGGCGACGTGGTCCTCCATCCACACATCCACGGTGCACTATGCTGGGTAGTCCTCCAGATGCTTGCTCAATGATCTTTGACCCATCTTCCAGGTAAACTGCTTGCATGTCACTTATTGGAATGCACATGAGCAGTCGCTGGAAAGGGGGGAGGAGGGGGGAAAGGTTACTTACTTTTTGTGACTGTTCTTCATGATGTGTTGCTCAGGTCCATTCCAAATCCCACCCACCTTCACTGTCAGAGAGCCAGCAAGAAGGAATTGAAGGAGTGGAAGGTTGGCTGAGCCTTATACACCATGCCTTGCAGGTGTCACTCTAAGGGGCTCCACAGCCTGCCGTACAGGTACCGTTAGGGGAAAAATCTTCCAACAATCATGCACGTGGCATGCACACCTATTGGAATGGACACGAGCAACACATCTTGAAGAGTAACAGTTACAAAACGTAAGTGTCCTTTTTTGAGCTGGCATGACCACTTTGCTTTGAAAGTTCACATTGTTTTGCTATCCATCATTGTTTATTCAGAGGAAGACTCATGCAGTGGTAACATCACATTCCAGGCTTTGTGATAATGTACACATGTGGGTCACACATGAAAGCAGAAATGAATTGATTGAATATGGAATACAGACATACAAATGACTGTAATGACTGAAATAAAGTTGATCGAACCCAATTATGTCATAGGTGGTCAGAAATTAATTTTGCTTTGTTGGTGACCTTACTGAATTCCCAAAAGCATTCAAGGGACATTAAGAAAATGGTACATCATCATAATGGTGGCAGACTACATACAGTTATGCCAGAGCCCCCCAGAAAACCTCTATTAATATTGTTTGGTCCAGGACTTTGATTTCTGTATAGTAAATTAGTCAGACTCTCAGCATATGTGAACATTTTTCTTTCTCAGATCACCTCATCCTCCTGCTTTTATTGTCTTTCCCTCTTACCATAATTTCTAATTTCTAAAACTCTCTTCCTCCTAATATCTTAGCAAGATGATTGATTCTTCCTCATTACTTCCAATTTTCACATCTTTTCAACAGTGTGTGCCTCTGCAGATGTAGATCTGCCCTCTAGAACACTACCCATTCTTTAAATAATACAGCTTGACAAAAAGTTACATACAAGTCGTTTTCATTATAATAATGGTTTTATCTTTAACGGTTTTCTCATTAGGTGACTCCTGCCAGCCATAACTTTGCTTTCAATTAATGCTACACATTATGAAATTAGGAGCACACACATGTATGAATACTAACGCTGCATAATTGGAATCACTGATCTAACAAGTGAATAATTTGTTGGAAGAAAGAAAAAAAATATTGATTAGAAAACTCATTAAAAAAGGATAGAAAAGTCATTGAGCTGTGAATAGTATGAATAAAATACATCTCTCCTTCCCCTATGAAATAAGGAAACATAACGATGAGATCAACAGGTCCTCCTTTTCTGCAGGCTCAGAGGGTGTGGTTTGTGATTCTATGGCTATGCTCTTGCAGTTCCACAATCAGCGTAACTGAACTCCAGGCTCATCACTCTGATATCTCCAAGACCAGAATCCCAAGCTTTTCAAAAATCAGGTCCTAAACTGAGGGTCTATCTCAGTACTTAGAGGCCAGATAAGTGATCTGATGTTCCAACTGCTGCTCACTGGGAAGTTCCCACTTCAGCAACCCCATGAGCTCTGGCTCCCACCTATTCCTGCCCACCTTCCCCTGCCCTCTGCTGCCTCTGTATCAGAGATAGTAGTGTGGGGGGGCAGATGGCTCCTGCCTGTAGAAGCAGCAGTGCAGGGGGAAGAGGCAGCTCCCCATGAGCTAACTCCTCATGTAAACAGTCTCCCCTTCCCCTCCTGCAGGGGAAAGAGGCAGAAGCACTGGGGAAGGCTGCGTATAACTGTGAGGGTGTGCCCATGTTCACATCCCTAGTGTAGCTATCCCTTCCTATAATGTAGAGGTTCTTCCCTGTGGTCTCTTGGCTTGTTACGTCTGCTGCACAGCCCCATTAAATACTACATACCCTTGAAAGGACCATCTCAGTAAGATGAAATTTGCCCTGTTTGCATAATTTGACATGATTATAAAAAAATACCCCAAACTGTTCCATGCTGTTTGAGTTGTATATGAAGCAAAAAGCATCAGAATGTGTGTGTGGGGTATTTCCTTTGTGGTTTTCTATGACTTGTCCAGAAAAATTGCCATGATCATAAAAATATAGGGAGGGGTGGTGTGTGCGTGTGTGCGTGTGCGCGCACACACAAAAAAATCATATAACTAAATCCCTAAAATAACCAAGAGCAATGAGTAATTGTACACATTTAATAATGAAATAAGATGAGGGCTTATGTTGCAGGTGTATAACAGGGTATGCTCTGTGCAAAGGTCCCCCGGAGGTACCACATCCCTCTTTAGTGCTTTCACTCCCCCAAACAGTGCTTATGCATATGCTGAGCAGGTATTAGCCAAGTCCCTGCTCCATCTTCCACAGAGTTTATAGGTCCCAAGACCACGTGAGCCTCCCATGGGATCCCTTTCTGCTCCAGCATCTCTTTAGATCTTCTACCGTACAAAAAGGGGATGTGGGTAGGGAGACCCGGGCCTGCCCTCTCCACCGGGTCCCAGCCGAGGGTCCTTCCGTGTAGGGGCATGATGCCCAAAACACGCTAGCCCGTGGGCGAGTCCCTTTATGGCCTGCCCTGGGCTGCTTCCTACTCTTGGCTCCCGGTCCCCTGCTTCTATGCCCTGTAGGGGTCGTTGGCTGGTTCTGGGCCCCTTCTCTCCCTGCCTTGGAGGGGGCCATGTCCACCCTCCTGTGGGTGCTACTCCTGTCAGCCAGGTCCACTGCTTCTCCACCTCTCCCCGCGCCTCCGGAGTCCTTCTGCCTTCCTGCCCCCTCGCTTTTGGGTCTGGGTCGCTTTATAAAGGACCTGCCAATGCCAGTGTCGGCCCTACGCCACGCTCTCCATCTTGGCTCCGCCCCCCTCCCGCTGCCCGCCAGGAGACGTCTGGGCTTCCCCCCAGTGGTGGGTCAGCAGTGTCCAGCCACGGATGGGCTTGCCCACTGGGGAAGGGCCCAGTTTGAGTGCGGGGCTTGCACGCCGCCCCGTCACAAGTTGCGGTTGTAAGTTGAATAATAGAAGCATTGGAATTGTAAACTTCTTTGTTTTGTTCACCTTGAATTTTGACTAATAAGTGAATTTATTGAAATGGTAGATAGATGAGTTTTTGTTCTGTGCAAACAATAATATAGGAAGTGTTCAGAGTGGTTGCCCTATTAACGAGTTAGGGAATGAGGAATTTCTAACACTGAAAAGCTGTTAAGATTGAGCATCGCAGAATAACTGGAAGTAAGTTGAGGAATCGTGCACTGCATCACTTTCTTGTCCGTCAAATCACTGCAAAACGATTCCCAATGCTTAGAAGGCATCAAAATGTGAAAGGATGTTTGTCATGAACATCACTTGAGATATGTGATTGTTGCTTTTTCTCCCACAGTTGAGAAAAAGATTCCTTTAACTGGTTAATCGTAAGATTGGCATTCATAAAATCAAGGTCCTGCTGTTTTGGGATTTGAATGTTCTTAGGAAGTTTAAACTCTGTTATCTAATTCCTTTTTGTATGCCCTTCACAACAGTAGATTTAATAAATTTATGAGGTCTTCTATTTCTTGTTAAAATATCCTTTCTTATTCCTACATAATTTATTGACCTAGTTTCACATATTGCAATGTTTGCTTTCATGAGACTGTTCTGATTTTGCCAGAGTAGCTCTGTAACTGTGTAAAACCTCTTTCTTTTTATGTCGAAATCCTGCAAGAGAGTATTTTGTAAATCAACAGCACCAGACAACCATACAACAGTTTCTTCTCTGTTTTTCAGGCACTACACGGGCTCCCAGGGATGGGGAGGTCCCAGGGGTGGACTACAATTTCATTCCTGTTGAACAGTTTAAAGCATTGGAAGAAAGTGGAGCCTTGCTAGAAAGTGGAACCTATGATGGTATGTTACAACATTTGAACACACAATCCTACCAACTTTTAAAAGAATAAAAAGAAAGACTTGGTGGAATTTGATGGTATTAGTGCCTAGTCATTTTGTCAAAGACTTGGTCTAAACTAGCAGTTTGTCAGTATAACTACATCACTCCAAGATGTGGAAAATCTACAGCCCTGAGTGACTTAGTTACACCAACCTAACTCCAGATGTAGACAGCTCTGTGTTGATGGATGGGCTTCTCCTACAGGCGTACTACCACTTTTTAGGGGGGCGGTGCGTGTATACCCATGGGAGAAATTCCCCCCCTCCTTGCACTGGCATAGGCATCTTCACTGGAGTGCTACAGTGGTGTACTTTGCTGCTGCAGTATTTTTTAGTGAAGGCAAGTCCTAAATTAGGACTTCCATGCTCATGAGAAGCAGATAGTGCCTTGTGCAAGAGTAGAGAAGTTGTATTATCTCCATGTTAGAACCATGTGACCTGACCTGTATTCTGTTGAACACCTGTTGCCTTTTCTGAGTCATTCTAAAAATGTGTATGAACACTTGGTTGGCTTTTGCTTTCAGTGTATGTGTGGTGGTGATAACTTTGGGTTTTGTGGGTTAGTTTTCTGTAACTTTAATATCTTGCTTAAGATTTATGAAATATAAATTATTCCTAAGGTTTCTACTTAATAGTCCACTTTTGTCATCTTTCTCCTCTTAGTATTTTAGAATAACAATAATGTTTGCTAGAAGCTATCCTAATTAGTTGCTAACTTTATTTTTAGTATTGTTCTGGTTGTCTTGGGTGTTAATTTTTAAGTAAAGAATCTCAGATAAGTACACTTCTCTAGAAGGTAAATATGACGATTTCTGGATAATAGCAAGCCCCTGATACTGTCAGCTTCCTGTTAATGGCAATATATTGCTCTGAACCAGTTCCCTCCTCCGAGCATCAGTGTTAGTTGTATTTGAATATTTGCAACAGTACCCTGCTTAGTAGCTTCTTTTTTTTTTAAGAAGGACCCCACCTGCAGGTTGGTTTATGTGACTGCATCCAGGGAAGGAATTGCGGAGCCTGCCTGTTTTAGCTGCAGCCCTGCAAACCTGCCTGCAGTCAGTATTTAGCCCATCCATCCATTCAGGTGCTTCCTTTGGGGGCTGCAGCCCATCAAGACCGCCTGCTGACAGGGATCACACATAACATAGGGATCTGCAGTCTGGGAGGGGAAGCTGTGGGCAGGCCATTAACAGAGAGGTTGGAACGGTACAGTGCCACTCCCTGCCAGGAGACTGCAGGCAGGGAAGGAAGCACAGGGAAATGCAGAGCATTAGCCTCCCAGTCAGCCAGCAAGAGGCACAGTGCAGCCTCATACGCATGCTGGCCTCAGTGGAAAGCCTTGGCATGCAGACTGTAGACAGCCCCCCTTCATATTGCTGCACTTCTTACAGTGAGGGCTGCAGCCAGAGAATCCATGTCCCAGCGCCAGATCTTGCTCATCATGATTATGACTTGGAAGCATTATTTGAATGTCAACAACCTGGATCTGAATGCATCCTAAACATGTGTAAACATGCATACACAATACTGCTGCTTCTGGTAGGAAAGAACAAACCACAGCCTTCCCATGCAATCCACCCTTATCTTGATTAATTAGTTGTCATAGCTAATATGAATGTCATCTCTGTTTGCTCTTGTTTAACACTTCTGCACCATGACCTGCGCTCTCCACAGCTGACATCCTTTTGGGCAGAGTAACTTTTCCAAGCTTTCTGCACACTGTACCAATGTTCTCCCTACATCTTAAGTAGGATTCAAAGGCAGTCTGAGTTACATAGTCCCATATGTCCTGGAGCCTAACTGAATTCAAGAGTACAACCTGCAAATCTGCAGGTACCTGCTTTATATCTGCATGTAGATGTGGATCCAAATTTTATATCTAGAGCCCTGCATATCTGTGGATATCCATGGACTATGTTTGCAGATTGGATGGGGATACACATATTGTATCAGCACAGATCTCTATCAGCAGTGCCCTCCAACTACAGAAATCCGTTCACAGAATCAAAGCCTGAATTAGGAATTTGTCCAAGCATGTGTAAGTCCTTTAATTGCCATCATACCCTTTGTACTTGTAAACTCTTCTCCATTTGCATATATCGTCTCTTTAATTTTATTGTATGAAATCTGCAGTCTTAGTTGTTTTCACTTTCCCTTTTAACTGTAATTGATATTTCACAAAGAAAAGCCTAAGAGGTCTGCATTCCATTGATATTTCAAGCAACTACCTGGCTTCCTTCTCTTCTCCTGTTCACATACATTGTACTGCCGTGGATCTTTGTCTGTGCTCTCCCTCTTGCTCCAGAGGCCTCTTCCCTGACTGCTACCCTGTCCTGGATTTTGATTTTTTTGCTTTTATACTTTAAGCCATAAGACTTAGTCTGCTGTCATGGTTGCTGTTAGGGTCTTCTCTCACTATTCTACATCTGTCCATACTATGGAACAAGGAATATTCAGCCTGGCTGGGAATCTGAGTAGGAAGGAAGGAGTAATTGTAGTGTGAGTAGACGTACACATACTCGTTCTTCTCTAACTAGTGTGGTAAAAATAACAGTGAAAATATGGCAGCATGGATTCCAGCCTAGGCCAGCAGCCTGAGAATTCCTCGCGGCTCCCCAGAGGGCTTGTGAAGTTCTGAAGCCCATGCCTTCATGTCTTTACTAGTGTTGTGAAGTCTCCTGTCTCCCTGTAACAAAATAATACATCTCCCTCCTTTTTGTAACAACAGTTGAGGGACTTGAAAGCATGTTCCCTGTTTGCTCTTTTCCAGACTAAACAAATCCAATTCTTTCAATCTTCCCTAGTAAGTCATGTTTTCTAGAACTTTAATCATTTGCAGTGCTTTTCTCTGGACCTTCTCCAGTTTGTTCACATCCTTACTGAAATGTGGCACCCAGAACTGGATACAGTACTCCAGTTGAGGCCTAATCAGTGCAGAGTAGAGCAGAAGAATGACCTCTTATTTCTTGATTATCACTGTACTACTAATACATCCCAAAACTATGTTTTTCTGCTTTTGCAACAGTGTAACACTATTGACTCCAATTTAGCTTGTCAGTCCCCTATGACCGCTGGATCCCTTAAGGCAGTACTCCTTCCAGACAGTCATTTCCCATTGTTCTTCCCTATTGAATTTCATCCTGTTTACTTCAGACCATTTCTCCAGTTTGTCCAGATGATTTTGAAATGTAACCCTATCCTCCAACTTGCAACCCCTCCCAATATGGTATCATCCGGAAACTCTGTAAGTGCATGCTTTGGCATTGATACAGATATTGAACAAAGCTGGGCCCAGAACTGATGCCTGTGGAACCCTGCTTATTATGCCCTTCCAGCATGACTGAACCACAGGTGATGACTCTAGGAACAGTTATTCAACCTGTTATGCACCAGCCTTATAATAGTACCAACTGGATTGCATTCTCCGAGTCTGTTCATGAGAAGATCATGCAAGACTGTATCAAATTCCTTACTAATGTCTAGATACACCACACCTGCTGTTTCCTTCACACCTGCTGTTTCCTCCTTATGCACAAGGGTTGTTAACCTGTCAGTGAAAGCTATCAGGTTGGTTTGACGTGATTTGCTGGCTATTAGCTGTCACCGTGTCATTTTATAATGTTTCAAATGGATTCCTTAATTATTTGCTCCCTTTTCTTTACTGGCACTGAAGTTAAGCTAACTGGCCATGAATTCCTGGGTGGTCCTTATTCCCTTTTTAAAATATGGGCCCTATATTTACCCCTTTTCCAGCCTTCTGGAATAGGGATGTTAAAATTAGATGAATCGACTATTCGATTACTCGATAAGGGTGTTTCTGCTTTGAAATGTAGCAACAGGCAAGCGGCTCTTGCTACATTTCAAAGGCAGAAGAGCCACACGGTGTTACAAGAGCCCCTAGTGGGCTCTTGTACTTTTCAAAGCGGAAGTGCTGTATGAAGCCCAGGGTCAGCAGGAGACTCCCCAGGCTCCACACGGTGTTTTAGTCTTTGAAATGCACAAGTGCCCCAGTGGGGACTTCAGTACACTTCAAAGATGGAACGCTGCTGCTGCATCCCTGCCTCCTCTTACGGAGCTGGGGAAACCAGCTTTTAAGCTGGCTCTCCCAAGCACCATGTACTCTTCTCTCTTCTTTCTCTCCCTCCCCCCCCCCCCACTGCCTCTTTCTGATAGAGCCAGCAAGTGTGTGTGTGGTGGGAGGGTGGGGGAACAACTACTCGACTAGTGTGTTGACTATCTGATAAGCTTTTGCTTGTCAGATAGCTGACTAGTCGATTAGTCAATTACATCCCTATTCTGGAATCTCTCCCATCTTCCATGACTTTTCAAAGACAATAACTAATGGCTCAGATATCTCCTCAGTCAGCTCTTTGGGTATTCTAGGACAGTGTTTCTCAACCAGTGATATGAGTACCCTTAGGGGTACTTGAGAGAAGTCTGGGGGGGTATGTCAACACAACTGAAATTTGGAGAAAACTGAATTTTTACCTGTTTTACAGCGCTTCATTTTTTTTTGTACTTTTTACACCCAACAATTTCATCGCCTGCCCAGCTACAATTATGTGGTTTAAACAAATGTATTGCAATGGTAGAAAAAAATTGTCTGAAAAATGTAGGTACTGAGGGTACTTATTTATTTTTTTGAAAAAGGGGGTACTTACAATTTTTTTAAAAAAAGGGGGCACTTTATAAAACAAAAAAAAGTTGAGAAACACTGTTCTAGAATGCATTTAATCAGGCCCTGATGACTTGAAGACCTCTGACTTGTCTGCATCATTTTTAACTTGTTCTCACCATTAACCTTCTTGAAAGATAATGGAGCAAGTAATTAAGGAATTCATCTGCAAGCACTTGGAAGATAATAGGATGATAGGTAATAGCCAGTATGGATTTGTAAAGAACAAATCATGTCAAACCAATCTGATAGCTTTCTTTGATCGGATAACGAGTCTTGTGGATAAGAGAGAAGCGGTGGACGTGGTATCCCTAGACTTTAGTAAGGCATGTGCTACAGTCTCGCATGATGATCTTATTAAAAAAACCTAGGGAAATACAACTTAGATGGGGCTATTTTAAAGTGCGCGCATAACTGGCTGGATAACTGTTCTCAGGGAGTAGTTATTAAAGGTTCACAATCCTGCTAGAAGGGCATAACATACCCCTGGGGCTCAATTGGAGTTTTGGGACTGGTTCTGTTCAATATCTTCATCAATGATTTAGATATTGGCATAGAGAGTACACTTATTAAGTTTGCAGATGATACCAAGCTGGGAGGGGTTGCAAGTGCTTTGGAGGATAGGGTTATAATTCAAAATGATCTGGACAAATTGGAGAAGTGGTCTGAGGTAAATAGGATGAAGTTTAATAAGGACAAATGTAAAGTACTCCGTTTAAAAGGAACAATCACTTTCAATTGTCTAGGAAGGAGTACAGCAGAAAGGGATCTAGGGGTCATAGTGGACCACAAGCTAAATATGAGTCAACAATGTGACACTGTTGTAAAAAAAGCAAACATGATTCTGGCATGTATTAATGGGAGTATTGTGACAGGAGTCACTCTTCTGCTGTACTCTGCACTGGTTAGGCCTCAATTGGAGTATTGTGTCCAGTTCTGGACACCACATTTCAAGAAAGATGTGGAGACATTGGAGAAGGTCCAGAGAAGAGCCACAAGAATGATGAAAGGTCTAGAGAGCATGAACTATGAGGGAAGACTGAAAGAATTGGGCTTGTGTTTCATTTGGAAAGGAGAAGACCAAGACGGGACATGATAGCGGTTTTGAGGTATCTAAAAGGGTGTCACAAGGAGGAGGCCGGAAAAACTTCTCCTTGGCCTGTGAGGATAGGACAAGAAGCACTGGGCTTAAAGTGCAGCAAGGGAGTTTTAGGTTAGACATTAGGAAAAACTTCCTAACTGTCAAGATGGCTAAATACTGGAATAAATTGCCTAGGGAGGTTGTGGAATCCCCATCTTTGGAGATATTTAAGAGCAGGTTAGATAGATCATCCCGATAGATGTCTAGACGGTACTGGGTCCTGCCGTGAGGGCAGGGGACTAGACTCAATGACCTCTCAAGGTCCCTTCCAGTTCTAGTGTTCTATGATTCTATGATGAAAATAATGTTCTGGAAGCTGGATGTGGACTCTGCTCTTGAAGATAATGGCTACAGTAGCTTTAATCAGTATCTCAAATGTAAAATCTTTTATATAGTACATCATAACCTGGCTTAAGTTTTCTTCTGGATTGAAACCTGTTGTTGAAGGTTTCTAATTTGGAGTTTCTTACTTTTTAAATATATATATATATTTTATATTTTATATTTTATATTTTATATTTTTAATTGTTCTGCAGTATATTGAAAACATCCTAGTTTAGGTACCCTTAGCTCAAATAAATGATTATTTTTCTTTCAAGAAAAATCTGGTGTGTGTGTGTATGTATATAAAATTATATGAAAACTAGTAAAGTAAAAAGGCTGCTTTTATTAATAGAAAATTTTCTAATATGGATGTAAATTTCAAGTGACTTCAGTGAATAAAGCTTCAAGAATAACTGCAGTCTAGAAACTGTAGGAAACCTCTGTAAAAGATGATGACACTTCTAAAGACCTATTATGATTTTTTAGACAGTTTCATGGGATTTTATTCTGAACTAATATGAAAAATAATATACATGAAAATGTCTATTACTCTTTAAAAAGACCAAAAAAGGAAATTCTTTGAGAGGGTCTCTAAGCCAAGTGCTTTTGATTCTGCCACAGTTTTGCAGCATATGTATACATAGTTGCCCAGGATCCAGGAGCCCCTCAGCAGCAAGACCTTCACAAGCGAGGCTAAACCCCAAGCTTTCAGCCTGATCTTTAATGGTATTTGAATCTAGGAGTTAGATTTTGTTTTGACTGCACAAATTATTATCTACCAAATGTTAGCCCAGCAGGAGTCCTGCTAAACTCTGTGCTCAACTCTCTAATTAAAATCATGCTATTAATTAAGAGGAGAAAGCCAGTTGTTTAAATTCTGTTTGAGCATTTATTTTAGTGGGAAAAAGTTAAAAAAATAGTAGAATCAGTGCTTTTGGTTTTCTCGGGTATAATTCAATACTAAATTGATTTATTAAAAGCTATACTAGATTAGCAAATTATCGGCTGAAATCATAGGATTTACAGCTCTAAGAAATCAGTTGTTTAATTTTATTTTTTAAATAAATATTTCATATTTCAGCAGAAAATAAATGTGCCTCTTAACTTTAACCTGGCTACAAGCTGCAGATTATTCCTGATCAGTTAATTGCTATCTGCTGTATATTAAAACAAAAATTTTGATTTTCTTAGTAATCCTCCATTTTATTCCTACCAAGATCTGCTATAAATCTCATTCTGGAGTATTAGTGAATGCAGGGTAAAATAACATCAATCTCTTAATTGAGAAATCTGTGTAGAGCTATGTACATTGGACAAACATCTCAGACACTTCACCAAAGGATTAATGCCCACAAAACAGATATCAGACAAGATCACAAAGAAAAAACAGTTTCTTGCCATTTTAACCAGAAAGGACACTCTCTCAATGACTTAACCACCTGCATTCTGCTTCAAAGACCTTTTACATCTGCACTTGAAAGGGAATCCTCTGAACTGTCATTCATGTTAAAATTCGACACTTTCCAAAAAGGACTCAACAAACACTTGAACTATCTCACCCATTACCAAGATAGTTTCCCCAATTATCACCTCTAATACCATTAACTCACAAACATCCCACTCTCCCTACCTCTAATATCATCAATTCACAGACACTTACCTTCCTTCCTTCCCCCCCACCCCCTGCATCCCCCTCCTGTTCTGCAATGTGATTTGTCCTTTTCATATTTGTTCATTCTTTTAATTGTATCCTTTGGTATATATGGTTGTGACTACTTTCTTCCACTATTTGATCTGAGGAAGTGGGTCTGGCCCACGAAAGCTCATCATCTAATAAACCATCTTGTTAGTCTTTAAAGTGCTACATTGTCCTGCATTTTGTGTAGAGCAGTGAATTTTAGAGTTAAATGCATCCTACCCAAATGCAGAATGACACCATGAGCAGAAATAGGACGTAGCTTTAAATTAGTTTCTGAGCAATTGTCAGTTACTGAGAATGCTAATGTCTTAAGTAGTGTAGTAAATTATCTTTGCGTTCAGGTATTTCAGGTAGCTATGAAACTGTGGCAGTCGAATATGTACTGTGACGTGAGCCATTCCTGAGATTGTAGAGGTCTTCACCAGATATTACTGATTCTAAATATTACTATCTACTTCTGAATGCCAGGTAATTTCTATGGTACCCCAAAGCCTCCAGCAGAACCCAGTCCCTTTCAGCCAGACCCAGTGGATCAAGTTCTTTTTGACAATGACTTTGATGCAGAGTCCCAGAGGAAAAGAACCACATCAGTCAGCAAGATGCAAAGAATGGATAGCTCTCTCCCAGAGGAGGAAGATGAGGAAGAGAAGGAAACAGTTAATGGCAGTGGAGGTCCAGGTCAGTAACAAGGGCAGAAATTCCTGACTGCAGTCAAGATTTTAACAAATGGTTACTCTAAAGCTTCCAGATTAACTTGGGAAAGAGCATTTTTACATGATCCGAAAACTAGGTGAAGGAATGTGTACATCAAGTGATAATGAAGAACAATGACTTGAGATTGGACCAAGGTGTCCAGTGGGATGCTGCAACGATTAGTCTGAGGACCCATTTTCTCACATCTTTATCTCAAACGAGGGATAACCAGCACATTACGTTTGCAAATGACTCCGCATCTAGTCATTTTTTAGAAGCCACCCATTCAAGTATGGATCTGGCCCAATCTTGGTTACCTTCAGAGATGAAAGAATCACTTTGCAGTTGATCTGGCTGCAGTCCACGTGAATTTGTCACAAATACAGACTCATGAAACACAGGTTATTGGCAATGGTGTCTAACTGAAATGCTTAAATTTACACTATTTAAAACCTCCTGCGCTGTTGTTTTCCTTGTACCACAGTTGGGTCTTGATAAGCTGAGAGAAATTATGGTGTAGATTCTCCAGTGGGCAGTACAAATGGTGTCTGCTTAGAGGAAATGCAATAAGTAGTTTACTTGGCTCTGTTCCAGTGTTGGTTTTTTTGCCTAGGCTAAGACAAGTATGAGGTTAACACTATTTGGCAAGGGGAGAACAGATGTGTTCATTTCAGATTTTTAAAGTTCACAGCAAAAAAAAAAAAAAAAAAAAAAAAAATAGAAAATACAGATAAAATACAGTGATGTTGGGCATTGTCTCATAGTGAGAGCAAAAGGGGTGGTTCTTTGTGAGCAAAGCAGCATGAATATTTTAACCGTAACACTTTGCTTTAAACAACTTCAGAAAACAAAGAGAGACATTCAGATTCTTCCGACTGGATGAAGCCTGTTCCTAGTTACAACCAGACAAGCAGCTCCATGGATTTCAGAAATTACTTGTCAAGGGATGAGAGCCTAGAGCCTCTACCCAAGAACTGGGAGATGGCCTACACAGACACAGGCATGGTGTACTTCATAGAGTGAGTAGAAGTTTTGTATCATTATACATCTAAGTTACCTTCCTGAGATGAACAAGCTCTGAGTCCCTAGTCAGTCTCTACAGAGATTTCTGCTGATTTTTGTTTGTCTTCTTTCCTACCCACTTCCTATTGCTGATGCCTTTGTATGAAAATATCACCAGGCTTTGAAGTCTCGGTCTGTTCCCACTCTGTGCTACTCACCCAACATCACCAGTTTTGTGTGTTTGGAATAGTTTTTCCTGTGAAGATCGTAACTATGTTACTGGGAGAGACAGTGATCTTAATTTGAGGAATAAGTTGCAGGAATAATTTATATCACAATATCCCTTCTTGTGGTGTTACTAGCATTTTCATCCAAGTATTTTTTCCTTTATAGATGGATACTTCCATAGGTATCTTAAGTTTCCATACATGGGGACTTCAGTTTCTTTTCATAAGCTACATAATGCAGATGAGAGAGAGAATTCATGTAAATGCTTTGTGTGTCTGAATAAATTGGATGAGAAAGCACAATGGTTCCCTCTACAAAATCAATTAACTAACTTACGTGCAGTCTGCATTACACAGAATGCAAAACTGAGGTTGTGTTGCTAGCTGGATAAGGATCTAATTTTATGTGTATTTTTGTTATGCACAATTTCATTGTAATCTGCTCTGCCTGTGATGTCTGGTATGAAATGGAACATGAAAAGGAGTTACTAGATAGTGTAATTGTTTCATGAATTGTAAAGCGTCAGACTACACTGAAGGCTAAGCAGAGGCAGAAGTTAGGGGTTTTTTCCCCAAAGGTGAAAAATACCTGTTATCCTCAAAATTGTTTTTTGCCATAGTTTCAAAGGTAAATGTCTGAAAGGCTTTGTCATACTTTGTATATAGAAAATATATTGGATGGAGAAGAACGTTGTGCTGAGATGGAGCTGCCTAATGCAGATTTATAGGGCAGAGCTGGAAATCCTTGAGCAAATGGGTTTATAATCAGAGTGTCAGTAGACCTGAGGTAAAGCACAGTTTCTGGCAAACTCTGCTAACTTATGTTTCTGTGTTATCTCAGAGTTAACGTGTACCATATGTTCCTGCAGTGCGATAAGTACTACTTGTCATGGAAGAACAAAATCACTAATCTTCCAAACTCACTGGTAATTTCTTCTGTGCTTTGGTTCAGGGTAGCTCCCCTTACATCTACATTCATATTGTGACTTTTTAAAATACTTGTTTTCTGGAATACTTAAGTTGTACTCTTAACGGCTATAAGATGTTACTTTAGGTTTTATCAGTTTTTCTCCATTACTTTTCCCAAGCCGTTTTTTATGATCAGCCATTTGAATGGTGCACAAAATCTCTTCTATCTAGTCCCCATAATAAAATTTTTAAAACCAGGTAAGAGAAACATTTGTTTTGGGTCAGATGATGAGACAGGTGTATTCAGTGTCTTCTTATTTCATTGGTTCTGTTAGTTCTAGGGATGTCAAATTGCAGGTAATCAGCTAATCAAGTAGTTGATGGAATTTCCATCAACTACTTGATTAGTCAATAAGGGGGAAACTGCAGAGCCGCAGCAGGGTTAGCTCCCAGCCCAGGAGCTAATTCCCTGTGGCTCTGCCTTTTACATGAATTAAAAGTCGCCAGGCTCTTAATACATTGAAAGGCAGAGGCATAGCTGGGGGACGGTCGTGAGCCAGGTCCCCCACTATGCCTTTGCCTCTTTTGCCACCCTCTTGCCTCCCGAGAGTACAGGGGGGAACCAGCTTTTAAGCCGGCTCCCCCCAGCACCCGCACCTGTTCCCTCCCTCCCCTTGCTGCCTCTCTCTGATTGAAGTAGCAAGGGAGTTGGGGGGAGTAACTAGTTGAGTCACTACTGGACTACCTGATAAGCATATGCTCTTCTCGGGTAGTCAACTAGTTGCTTACATACCTAGTTTGTTCTCTGCTGTAATAACTTACTTATACATCTACACGGTTCTACAGAGCTACTGAATTCAGCTCCATGCACAAGTTGCATTGACTACTGAGTGATCCAGTATTTTTGACAGATGTAACCTAGGCATACCTCACTCCCAAGAAACCTGCTACTTTTAGAATGAAATTGCTTGGGCTGCAGCTGTGAATGTGTGCCTTGGAAATATTTTCGACTGCTAAGTAATGTTGGCACCTCTGTAACCTCCTATATCACAGTGCTACAGAAGAGCCTCAAGTATGTTTGTAGTTCCTATTTTTAAGTGGTGCATTTCTTTGGTGGCATTTTTGATGTGACAGGTGAGAATAGCAGGTACACTGACCTAGAGGCAAAGATGTGCATGTGGTAGGAGACTTACGAAAAGAAGTGCTAAATGTAACAGGTGAAATCCCTTCCTTGGGAATCTCTTTGTCTCTCTCCCTTTATCTCTTGCTGTTTTTCTGCTACTGATTGGGTTGTCCTATATTCTGCAGTCACAACACAAAGACAACCACTTGGCTTGATCCTCGGCTCTGTAAGAAAGCCAAAGCTCCTGAAGACTGTGAGGATGGAGGTGAGATGTTCAGAATTCTGTTGGTCGTCCATACATTCTGCATGTTTGTTGTATTTCCTACATGAAAACGAAACTGAGTTCAATCAGCATGCTGCTGTCAGCAGAGCTTCTGAAGGCACAATGCATGTCTCTGGGACTTGGTTAGTTTTGTTTCAAAGACTTCATTTCTTCTTTGCCATTTGGTACTAACCAGAAAGATCACTTGTACCTCCAAATGCCACCTGGAATAGGAATTTACTTATGCCCTTGTTTCAAGGTCAAGTTCATCTGAAATCAAATAGAATTCCTAAGAAATTAGTTATGTTTGCTTGTTTACTAATCAAAACAAGTGCTGCAGAATAGAACCGGTTATCTAGTCACTTTGTCTCGGTTCATGACGGGACTTTTTGTGGGGTTAGCCAGTAATGAATCCTTAAGCACTTTTGGAGAGTTGTTCCTTATGCAAATATATAAAATAGCAGG